GTCTAACTGTAGGTCATAAGACTCCCATTCCAGAAGGCGTCCTGCTCCACACCCTAGAGGAAGGAATGATGCACAGAAAGGCCAAGAAGAATCCAGACAGGTCTTGCTGTGTTTTCCCACTTGGTCTATTAGTAGTAGATCATACCCTGTTTGGCCAATCACATCTCTACACAGTTGTCTATCTTCAGTCATGCCTGCCCCATGAAGTCTCCATTAACAGCCAAGACGACAGGGTACGAAATGCTTCCGCGCAACTGAGCTTTTGGAGACTTGCTGAAAGGTAAACAAGAACTCATCCACAGGGCAGGAGTGTGGCGCACCCCAGTTCCTTGGAAACAGAAGCTCCTGTGCTCCAATGTCCTTCCAGACATTGCCCTATGTTTTTCTTCATCTGGTTGTTTACTTTTATCTTTTAAAATATCCTTTACAATAAGCCAGTAAATTAAGTAAGTGTTTCACCAAGGTTAGTGAGTCACTTTAGCAAATTGTGTCTAAAGAGGGTTCATGGGAACCCCTACTTGAAGCATTTGACAGAATTCAATATCCATTTATGATTTAAACACTCTCAACAACTTAGTGATAGAAGGAATGTACTTCAAAACAATAAAGGAAATGTGACAAACTCAACCAACATCATACTCAGTGGGAAAAAGTTAAAAGATTCCTCTAATACCAGGAACACGACAAGGATGCCCACTCTTGCCACTCTTATTCAACACATTTCTGGAAGACTTAGCCAGTGAGATTCAGCAGGAGAAAGAAATAAAAGGCATACACATTGAAAATAAACAAGTCAAATTTTTGTTTGAAAACAAACAAGTCTATTTATAGATGACATGATCAAATACATAGAAAAACCTAAAGATTTCACCAAGAACTGTTAGAACTGATAAATTAGTAAATTAGCAGGATTTAAAATCAGCGTACAAAAATGAGTACCTTTTCTACACACTAACAAATAACTATCTGACAAAAAAATCAAACATTCCTATTTACAATATTACCAAAAAAAAAAATACTTAGGAATAAATTTAACCAAGGAGGTGGAAAACTTGTATGCCAAAAACTATAAACCATTGATAACATAAATTGTAGAAGACACAAATAAATGGAAAAATATCCCATGATCATGTATTGGAAAATATGTTAAAATATTCATACTACCCAAAGCAATCTACAGATTCAATGTGATCTCTATCAAAATCCCGATAATATTTTTGTATTAATAGGAAGAGAATCCTAAAATTTATATGGAACCACAAAATACCCCAGATAGCCAAAAACATCTTGAACAAAAAGGAATGAAGCTGGAGACAATATACTACCTAACTTCAAAATATACTACAAAGCTATAGTAATCAAACAGCATGGTACTGGCATAAAAACAGACAGATAGACCAATTGATAGACTGAAGAATCCATAAATAAATCCATACATTTAAGGTCAATTGATATTTGACAAAGGTACCAAGAACACACAATGGGTAAAGGACAGTCTCTTCAATAAATGATGTTGCAAAAACTGGATATCCACAGGCAGAAGAAGGAATTTGGACATCATGTTCAAAAATCAACTCAAAATGGACTGTAGACTTAAACATAAGATGTGCAACTGTAAAATTACTAGGAAAAAATCATAGGAGAAAAGCTCTGTGACACTGGTCTAAGCAATGAATTTTTAAATAGGACTCTAAAGGAACCAGTAGCAAAAGCAAAAATTAACAAATGAACTTATAACAAATTGAAAAGCCTCTGCACAGCAGTCAACAATCAATGGAGTGAAGACAACCTACAAAATGGGAGAAAATATCTACAAACCGTATATCTGAAAAACGATTAATATCCAAAATATATAAGAAACTCAATAGCTAGTAAACAATCTATTTAAAAATGGGCAAAGGTCCTGAATAGACATTTATCAAAAGAAAACATACAAATGGCCAACAGATGTTTGAAAAAATGCTCAACATTACTAATCATCAGGGAAATGCAAATTAAAACCACAATGAGCTATCACCTCACACCTGTTAGGATGGATATTGTCAAAAAGACAAAAGATAAGCGTTGATAAGGATGTGGAGAAAAAGGAACCCTTGCACACTATTTGTGGGAATGTAAGTTAGTTCACCCATATTGAAAACAGTATGGAGGCTCCTCAAAAAATTAAAATTAGAACTCCCAAATGATACAACAATTCCACTGCTGCTATACATCTAAAGGAAATGAAATCAGCATGTTGAAGAGATATTTGCACTCCCATATTCACTGCAGCATTATTCGCAATAGCTAAGACGTGAAATCAACCGGAGTATCCACCAAAGGATGAATGGATAAGAAAATATAGCATACATATGCAAGGAAATGCCATTCAGACTTTACAAAGAAGGAAATCCTGTCCTCTCTGACAACATGGATGAACTTGGAGGACACTATGTTAGATGAAATAAGCCAGAAACAAAAAGTCAAATACATGTTGTCACTTACGTGTGCATCCAAAAAACATTGAACTTGTAGAAGCAAAGAGTACAATGGTGTTTGCTAGGAGCTGGGGTGGGAAGCATGGGATGGGGGAGATGTTGGTTGAAGGACACAAAATTTCAGTTAGATAAGAGGAATAAGTTCAAGAAATCTAGTCTATAACATAAAGAATAAAGTTAATAACAATGTGTTCTTGAAAATCACTGAGAGAATTAAGTACTCTCACCACAAAAAAATGGTATGTGAGGTAATGCAAATGTTAATTAGGCCAATTTTGTCACTCCACAATGTAGACATATTTCAAAACAAATCCTTCTTTCTCACATCCCTCACATCCAGTTCCTCAGCCAATCCTTTCTGTATGACACCAAAATAGACCCAGAATGTGATCATTTCTTATGACATCCACCACAGGTCCATGATCTAAGCACTGCTGTGTTGAGCATAGCATCAAATAGCAGTAGCTTCCTGACAGCTCTACTGCTCTGACTGGCCTTGCACAGACCCCCTGCCACCTATTATCCACAGAATGGAGGGGCCCCTTTAAGATCTAAGTCAGGTCCTGTCCCTCCTCTATCAGCTCCCATCACTCAGAGTAAAACCAGATCCTCCACACCCCAACCCACCCCTCTGCCAGCTGACCTGGCCTATCTGCCTTGGCCCATATCTCCTTCATGCTCTCTATCCTTTCCCTCTGTCCTAGGGAGGGCACTGGTTTCAGTTCTAGAACCCACAAGGCAGTTTCTATTCTTAGCTCTAATGATGAGCTCAATTGTGTATGCCCCAAAATTCATATGTTGAAACCCTCACTATCTCAGAATATGACCGTATTTGAAGACTTGACCTCTAAAGAGGTAGAGTTAAAATAAAGTCTCCATTCAATATGACTGGTGTCCTTATTAGAAGAGTGAATTTGGACACAGACATGCATAGAGGGAAGACTCTAGGAAGACAAAGGGAGAAGACACAGGGAGAAGAAGGCATCTACAGGCCAAGGAGAAAGGCCTCAGAGCAGACGCCCTGCTAACACCCCTATCTTGAACTTCCAGCCTCCAGAATTATGAGAAAACAAACTTCTATTATTTAAGCACCCACTCTCTGATTTGCTGGGACAGCATGAGCAGGTGTATACAGGGCCTTAATCCCCCTATGTCCTTCAGGTCTTTGTTCAAAAATCACCTTCTCACCCTGGCCATTCCTGAACATACTTTCTACCCCTCTACCTCTGAATGTTCATGCCTGCTTGCCTCATTTGTGTTTACTTCAAACTTGTGCATTGACCCAGACTCTCTGTGGGGCCAGCTGCAGATGTGATGGGAGTCTCTCAACATTTAGAACAACTTCAATGATATCTATGACTCATCTGGAACGTGCTGGGAGCCAACTTTTGTCCGCATGATTCACATAAATTACAACCCTTAACATCCTTATAAGGTGAGAACCCTGTTTGCTCTTGATTTACCAATGAAGAGAATGAGGATCATGGAGGTTAAATAGCTTGCCGAGGTTGTACAGTTAGTAAGAGGTAGAGTTTTTCCCTTATCCACTTTTCCCAGACTCCTGTTCTCTGGCTCTAACCATGTAACAGCAACAGCACACTACCCTGTACCTCAGGGACATGGCAGGTGTTGCTGCATAGGTCCAACAAATCCACCGCACCCGCTCAGGGCATTCCCTGTCACTGTGAGAGTCAACGGTGTGCCAATTCACCAAAATGTTCACCACAAATCAGAAACAGAATTATTTAGAGCAATTTAGCCATTTTTGAGATGGTAGAAATAACCTAATTGCTACATGTTTGTCATTAATTAATAAAATAGTTAAAATAAGGTGCCCCATATTGAACCAAATGATGCTGTTTGTGTTTACTAATTTACGCAGTATCTCAAGTCAACAGGACCTGCAAATACAGGACTAAATTAGCCTAGAAACATAATTGCTTCTGACCCTGAAATGACCTTTGCAAAAATTATAACTGAGGAAATTGTGAAAGTGAAAGACTCCATCTTGCTTCTAACCTTTAAGCTGTCTTTGTTCATTCTTGGGCATCAGCCAAACTAATCTTGGGAAGGAATTTAGTTTATAGTTTGACTCTGAAAGAAAACTGATAATAATCCTTTCCCAAAAAGACTCCTTTCTTGCCTGGGGACCAGTCTGCTTTTGTAGGGCTAACAAATTAGCTACAAGATTAGAAATTAAGGTTTAGGGGTCATGCAGCCTCTGGCTCTAAGAGTCTGAACCTCCCCAGATTGCTCCTGGGGATAACCTCACTATTATAAAACCTAATATCAGTGCTTGAGATATTTTGCAGACCCTGCACTTGATGGATCAGTTGACACCACCCAGACCTGTAATTTGGCTCAATATTTTCTGCAATCCCACCCAGGAACAGAAGACACCAAGGAAACCTAAATTCAACCACCTATGATTCCATCCCCAACCCAACCAATCAGCACCCATTGGACCATTACAACCCTCTATATGTTTTTACTATGTATATGAAAAAAATATCGAGTACTTACTAAAAATTGCAGTCCAAGGCACGTGGTTTTGTTGGCGTGTAGGACTGCTCCACACAATGACTCAGAGCCCAGGATCGTTTCAACTCACAGCACACCCATCCCCAGGGCTTCATCTTCATCTGCATCCAGCCACTGTAGGGAAAAGAGTGAAGAGGAAGGTCACACATAATGCTCAGAAGCCTTGGTGTCACTTCTCATGTCCCATGGCTGTGACTCCCTCACCAGGCAGCACACGTCCAACAGCAAAGGAGACTGGAAAATGCAGCTCAGCCCAGCACCAGGACACTGTGCCATTTCCATGCAAGGTGACAAGGAATTTCAATGACTGCCTGGAAGGTTCTAACACAGAATAAGGTAGAAAACTGATTACAGGTCAACTGGGACTGCCAACTAATTTCAGAGTTTCACAGACCTATCCACCCAGTCATGGGTCATGACCAACTGGGGCAGGCCTCTGGACTAGAGCCACCTGCCCAGGTAAGACAAAGCCTAAACCAGCAGAGCAGAACTGCCTCCCTGCAGGCAAGCTCACACCCCAGAGAAAAAAAGGGAGGTGCACAGTCAACAGTGACATTCTTCATTAACCATCAATGCGGTAATTTCATAAATCCTAGTGCGGAGAGAGGAAAGGGGGACAGACATCAGCATGTTACAATAATTAGGCTCTTTCCACACAGAAGGAAACATCCGAGCAGGAAAGAACAGTTCCGCTCTAATATCATCTTTCAAGGACAAACCCATTTTCTCCTATTTCCAAGGTAACTGACTCTCCAGGCAGAAGCAGTCACTCATTCCTCTGTCTTCCTTAAAGTCGTGGACTCTCCAGTGGAACTCGCCCTGCTTCCGTTTTGTCATACACATCTGTTTATATATTCAGTATCCCTAAATAGACTGTGCCCTTATGAAAAAAGGCTCTTCATCTCTCAGCATTTTGCATTATTTTCAGTAGCTAACACTTTGTCCTTATATACACTAAAATCTTAATGATGAACAAATACATGATTCAAAGGTGTAAAATAAGCAAAAAGTAATTGATTTGTATTTATGACAAAAGCGTGGGTTTCTTTTTCCTTGTGGCACCATGAATTGCATACTCCATACATTGATTGCTACTAGAGAGAAAGTCCAGGTTAAAATTCTTCTCATGTATCAAAACCTGAAAGATATGGAACCAGTTTGGAATCTAACAAGGCAGGTCGATTACAAAGATGGAACACAAAGCCTGAGCATTCCAGTTTCACTTTTGGATTTTTAAAATGATAAACCAATTACTCAACAGTTAGATTAGTAAACCGCATAACATAAATTGTTCACAAGTTTTTTTAAAGTAAATTTGAATATTTTCTGTTCTTGAATAACTCATTTTATTCAATGTTTAAAACAATGAATTATTAATGTGACTGAAATTATTTTCATTAAAAGGCAAAGCTTCCAAACACTTTTTAATCCCAGAAGAAGTAAATTATAGATCTGGCATTTGTAAATTCTAACTTTAAAAATGTATATATTCATTTTGTAGAGCTCAGAACATTTTGAGTTAAAGCATTAAAAGTAATATTCTCTCTTCCAATTAGGAAAAGTCAGTTGTTGGAATAATAAATTACCACATATCATTTCAGAACAAAATAAGAATGTAAACTCATGACTTTGTTATTCCCCTTTGTAACATAATTTTGAAAAGGAAATATGTCCACTACTAATAATGGTAAAATTACTTTGTTTTTGCAACTATCCTTAATTATCCACTCTGTTTACCAGGAAAGAATCTACTGGTCTGACCTTGGAAAGGCCCCTCTTGGCTCCCTCAACAGCTTATTCACGTCTCTGGAATTGCATCCACCACTTCATTGACTCTATTAGTCCATCAAGTCCATCTCCCACATCAGGCAGAAGCCCCTCAAGGGTGGGGGCCATCTCATCCAACCAGCATGTTTCCTTGGGGATGACGGATAGTTCACAACTGATATTCCTCAAACTAAGTAATGGTTCCTTGTGGCCTGCACGCCCCTCAGCCCAACAGCCCAAGCCCTTCACAATCTCCTCACTAGTTTCTCTTAGAGTACAATATGGGCATCCTAAGACCACAGAAAATCCTCCTACCTGGGCATTCCCATGTCTCGGCTCATGTCCTCCCACTTTCCAGCTCCCTCCATTCGAAGTGGAGCAGCCATATTACTCCATCATGAAGCCTCGTTCACAGACAGAGGTAGCATTCCCATCTGCGAATCTGTGATTGCCTTCTGTGCTTCTTTTTATTATGATATTCTCCATTAGAATGGGCTTCGTGTTTACATATGGCCATGCTTTTTTCTTTAGACTTAACGAGAGGTTACTTACGGACAATACCTCTGGCAGTACCAGGACATCACTCGACACACTAGCCCATATGCTACAACTATTTCTTGAATTGAGACAATTTCCTCAGTAAACTGATAATGTAGAAACAAGAATGATCTTCCTAGCATTAAAGTCCTCCGTACTTAGAAGCACCATGCCAGAAGTGATTTAGGTATCACCACAAGTTATGTACCTTTGTAAATTACCATGGGGGAACTCATTTGCGTAATCATCCCACTCTTAGAGTGCAAGTTCAAAGATGCCACAGGTCATCGATAATATTTCAACTTAGTTTGAAATATTAAATTACTATTAAAAAGATAATAGCCAATATTTCAAGAATCTAAACTTCATAGATTCAAATAAATTTCAAATAAACTTCAAATAAATTTCAAATATATGTAATTTTAAGTAGTAGTTACTATAGTTGAAGCTAGAAATACTTTCTTGAAAAATCCCATAGTGTATCCAAAATGAAATCAACTTGAAGATGCCATTTTATCAAATTCACAAATTAAAACATGATGAAACAAATATCAAATAGTCCCAATGCTGACTAAAACACAATACCAACCTCTCCCCAAGAATATTGCATAGAAAGAATTTTCAGGGTTTAAAAATGAGTGAAATAAGCATGATCTACTTTAAACCCTCCAAAGTTCAGTTACACCTAAGTAAACTTTTAGAAAGCACCCTTTTAACCTCTGTTATCTTAGAAATGGCTGAGCCCTGCTAATGTAGGCAGTCCTTCAGAGGACAGTTGTTGCAGCCATAGAAACAAGACAACTACAAGCAAAGGGAAGGGGCTGGATTAGGGACTGAACTGCGTCCACCCAAAGCCATAGGCTGAAGCGCTAACCCCTAATGTGACTGTATTTGGAGAAAGAGTCTTTAAGGAGTAGTTAAGGTTAAATGAGATCCTATAGGTGGGACCCTAATCCCATAGGACTGATGTCCTTATAAGAGGAGAAAGAAATATCAAAAAATCTATGGGCCTGTGTGTGTGTGTGTGTGTGTGTGTGTGTCTGCCTCACTCTCTCTCTTTCTCCCCTCCTCCTCCTTTTTTTTTTTTTTTTTTTTTGAGACAGGGTCTTGCTCTGTTACCCAGACTGGAGTGCAGTGACACCATCACAGCTCACTGCAGCCTCAACCTCCCGGCATCAAGCGGTCTTTCCACCTCAGCCTCCCTAGTAGCTGGGACTACAGGCATGCACCACCATACCCAACCAATTTTTGCATTTCTTGTTGAGATGGGGTTTCGCCATGTTGCCCAGGCTAGCCTCCAATTCCTGAACTCAAGCAATTCACCTGCCTTGGCCTCCCAAAGTGCTGGATTTATAGACATGAGCCACTACATCTGTCTTTCTCTCCTCTTTCTTTCCTCCCTCCCTTTCTCCTTTTCCTTTATGTGCTTCCTTCCTCTCTCTCTCCCCCTCCCCCTCTCCATTCTCACAAAAGGCCATGTGAGGACACAGAGAGAAACCACCAACTGCAAGCCAAGGAAAGAAGCCTTATCAGAAACCAATCCTGCTACACCTTGATCTTGAACTTTCAGCCTCCAGAGCTGTAAGAAAACAAATTCCTGCTGTTTAAACCACCCAGTCTGTGGTATGTTATGGTAGTCCAAACAGAATAATACAGGCTGTTTGATTACCTCAATTCAAGCTTGTTTCACATCTCATCAAAACTGATGATTGTCATTCAGAAAAAGAAATGAATTAATACGGAAAAATAATTGTAAATTAATTGCAAAATAGTAAGTATTGCTAAGGAATGCTTACGAGGGTCATTGTAAACATAGAAATTTGTGTGATGTGAAGACTCTTTGTTAGGATGTCAGTGTCTTTATTGGAGAAATTAATTTGGAGGCACAAAGGGTTACTCTCTGAGGTCTAATATTCAGTGGATCAGTGGATCAAGTGTTGCTTTGGAGTAGATCATAGATACCCGACTTCAAATCTAATCTTTATATTTATCTGTTGTGTGACCAAAAGACAATTTCCATAATTTCTTGAGCCTCGGTTTTTCTCATTTCTACAAGAAGGAGATAATTCTACCTCTCTCCACTGCTGGAAAGACTATATTGTATAGGAAGAATCTAGCAAAAGGAATCATTACAATTTTTCAGTATTTTTTTTTAGCATTTTGCAGGCTTCCAGCATGCCAGAATTTGTAGAAGCTCTTCTGGAAATAGATATTGCTGTGGGGATTCTCACTTCTCTATTTATGAAGGTAATCAGAATATTGTTTTGATAGTAGGATCAAAAGATGAATTAAACTCAGGGCAGTACTTACTCAATGACAGGTTATCACTATTGATATAAAGAATATGACTAGACATGAACACTGGTCTTGAGACCAGAGTCTGCCACTTTTCATGTAACTTAGGACAAGTGATTTTATTTCTGGCTTCAAGTTCCTCCCATATAAAATGGGGACAACTATCCCTTCAACTTCACAGCTGTTTGTGGGATTCAAAGGCAATAAATAAAAGCGTTCTAAAGTTTTTCTAAAAAGAAATTAGAGCCTAACACAAAAGAATCATCAGGTTTTCATGGAATCTCATTCTATAGTGACTGAGGACACTGCCCCATGTTCCAAGCAGCCAATATTTAAAGGAACAACACTAGGCCACGTGCTAGGCACAAAGTCCATGTCTAGTAACCAAAAGGAATTTGGTTCCTGCCGTGAAGGAGATTTCTATCAAGCAGGGCAGACAGATAATAAACACACAAGAAAACTAATATATTCATTACTCCAAGATATGAAAGGTCCTATTAGTGAAGAGATTGGAC